TGTTCTTTAGGTGAATGGTGGCGAAGTGCGGATGTTGAAAGGTAAGCCTAACGGTAAGGCAAAAGGGCTCGAAATTTTTGAAAAAAGGGAAAAGAAAATAAAAATAAAATAATAAAACAATTTAAGAGAAAATAAAATTTCAAGTAAATGACAAAAAAGGCTGCCGTATCTATCAATACAGTGCTGCTTTCAAGGGCGAGAAAATTTTAAAACGATAGGTCATTCAGAATGAGGAGCGAAACAAAAAAAAAAATTTGAGGAGGGCTTCAAGGGCTCATATTTGTAAGATTTCTCAATCGCTTTATTTAAATCATATAAAAAAAAATTTTTTTTTATTGTGTAATCAAATTCATAATATTTTTTGTTTATTTATAAAACGAACGAATGAAAATTTTTAGATATTTTAGACCATTTGATATTACTCTTTTTTTTTTTTTTTTTTTTTTTTTTTTTTTATTATTATTATTGTTAACATGAAAATTTTTTGTAGTGGCGTTAAAAATAATAATAAAAAACCTATCACGGGCAGGTTATTTAGTTGTTACTTCGGAATAGTTCGAAAAATTTTTTCCAAATTAGCTTCTTATTATTTTTCCTATTCAAGATGTTCCCATCCTTTGTGTTCAGTATCGAACTTAGATAAACCTGTAATTAACTAACTGGGAAAAAGCATCTGAGCCTTCTTTTTTTCTTTTTTCTGTTGAACAAATTATTAAATTGAAAAAGCCTAATCATATATCGGAAAGATTCGGGGGTCATTCTTATTGTAAAAATAGATTCGAAGTTTTTTTTTTTATATATATTTGAGCACATGCTCCATTGAATTAAAAAATTTCCGGTCGATCGTTGACTTTACAAGACCGTTATTCAACCTCGCGTTTTTTCTTTTTTTATAAAAGAGCGACTTGACGAGAAAGAGGCTTAAGGAAAGTTAGAAAATACGTGGCTTTGTACGTGATTTTTGAACTAGCGTTATCCTTGAAATTTGGTTTATTTACGGCTTATACATAATTGAGAAACAAAAAAAAACAAGCAATGGTTCCAGATTTCGAATGAAAAAAAAAAATACACGTTTCATTCCAAAAGTTGCGTCAATTTTCGATATAGTAAGGATGCGCGTAAGTAAATAAAAAAAAAAAAAAAAAGAAAAGAAAAGAAAAAAAACCACCATCTTTCCTTTTTGATTTTTTTCTTGTAAGGTTAAAATCAAGATAATAAATGAATAATGCATTTAAATTTCGTAGATGCGCGGACGGAAATCATCAATGTGGTAATATCAACTTTTCGGACCGAAAGAACGGTAAGCGGCGTTTAGTTACTGGAATGATGACTAAAAGTGGTATAAGTTGTCACGATTTGCTGGAAATGTTTGATGTGAAGCCGTGGAATGAAATCTTGTAAACGTGTCCTCCTCATTAGTTCATAAATCATAAAATCATAGATAAGCCGCATTTTAATCAAGCAAACAAAAAAAAATTCTTGATAATCATCTTGGATTTTGCCGCCAAAATGCCAAATGTTGTAAGATTAAAAATACAAAATGTACGTGATCTTACCTCTCGGAATTGATCTTTTTTTTAATACATGAAGTGTGTACCATAACATAAGGCTATTATTGTATTTTTATATACATGTCAAGAACTTTTGACACCTTTCGTTATACATGTTAGAGCTTACCAAGATCATGCATCTAATTCCGCCTGGCATTATGGAATTTTCTTTAGGATGGCTGTGTCGAAGGAACTCGAGTGATATTCTTTTTCTCAATGACGAATTCTTAGTCAACTGTCGTCATTCCACATGACAACGAGCGAACTAATTATCTCTCACACCACCATAAATTTTTAATAAGACTCTAAAGGTTATGATCATAACAAGTTTTTTTTTTTTTTGTTTATTTTTTTTTTTTTTTTTTTTTTTTTTTTTTATAAATAAATAAATAAACCATTCTTACCTTTTGATGGTGTTACAAAATGAAGATTTTACAATATAATAATATAACAATACAAGTTCCTTTTTTTCCCCCTGTTCTCCTGTATTAATGGTAAAATGGCTTTGCATGATTTATTTGTATATGTTGGCGTGCGGGATTTCCCACTGCGCAGAAAGGAGGCAGTGAAATCCGGTTCTTCCTCAAGTATTTTCCCTCCACAATAACCCCAACACCAATGCGAGGCATTGCCGCTAGGGGAAAAAAAAAAATTTTAAATATTTTTGTTTAATTTACGCGTGAAAAAGGAAATTGCTTGTATTTGAATGAAATGATTTTTTTGATTACTATATCAAAATCATGACAGCTGATTGATCCACTTATAACAATTTTACTGATTTATTAATTGTTTAATAATTTCAAGGTAAAATTAAAAAAAAAAAAAAGGTGCAAATCTCTCAATCGTAAATCCCACGTAACCGTAAAGAAGGTAGTCTTGTAACACTTGCAAATCAACAAGTCACTGGAAAAGAAAAACAGGTGTAACACAAACAAAAAACTTATATTTTTCATACGCGGAATCTTCCAAATAAAGTATCAATAACAATTGTATAATATAATTGGGAATGATTAAAAGACGTTTACAAAGCCACGAGGAAAAAAAAAATAACGTAAGGTATCGTGAAAATCAGAACATCATGAATTCCTTTTGATTTTTTTTTTTTTTTCCTTTTTCTTTTTTCATTGAAAATCACTCTATTGTTAATCAATAAATCCTTTTTCTTTTTGTTCTTTTCTTTTCTTTTCTTTTTTTTTTTTCTTTTTTGCTCTTGGAATGAGAATGTGGGGGTATGTGTGTCATTGCTTGTCATTGTTTGTCATAATGAATCAAATGTCAATTAAGGGAATATTTTTTTTTCCGTCTAGGATGATTCATATTTCCATTCATTTCCCGGTGTCAATAATCAAATAATCTCGGTTACTTTGAAAATCTGGTATACCGCTATACGATGTATACGATGGGAAGTGTGATTTCTCGCACGGGGCAATGTTATTTGTCACACACATTATCATGTTACACACAATAAATAAACCTGAATTGAATTAAATCTGTCACGGGGATGTAATCAATCATCTTGGTGAGTCATATTACAAGAATTTCAACCTTGGATGAATTACTTTTATATTTGGAATGACTGGTAAGAAATCGAGAGGCGACGATCTTACAGGACGTTACGAGTTCATTAACTTCAGGTTTATCTCATGTTCATGGCCTTTACGATATCTCAATAACCAGATTTTATTAAAATTTCACATTTAGGTTAATTACAATCATTCATAGTGATCATCCGTTTAAAGGAACAATGATTTTTTACCATGCGCATTATATCCATAATTCAACTTCTCATATATAGTTTTTGATGTCAATAATTTTCATTTTGACATATGATTGGCAATGTGATGTTTGAGTTTCATCAAGTTTTTCATTTTAACAACCAAATAGATTTACCACAAAGGATTATTATAAAAAAAAAAAAAAAAAAAAAAAAAAAAAAAAAGGTTTTCAATTGACGACCTCATCAGTCATCATTTTTAATTGTATTTCGATCAAATGCCGCTTACACAATCAATAATCGGCAATCTCCTGTTTATATTCGGTAAATTCTTCGGAGAAATAATGTAGATCATGTTATACCGAAATCTGTATCCCCATCCAAGTGCCTGGTAAAAAGATGTTGTGACGTTCAACAGCATCTTTCACATGAATTGAAAATTTTACACTAAGGTAGATTAAATGATGATATTTTACAATATTTTATATTGTCTAATATAAATTTTTTTTAAATCTAACCATTTTCTTTCTTAATTTAAATCAAAGAAATTCATTTTCATTGTCATGCGATCTTATCTAACTGGATCCCCCCTACAAAACATCTATCTGGTAAAGAAAAGGTGTTATGCGTGTTCAACCACCATCTTTCCTCTTTTCACATGAATATAATGGATCTTACTGTAAGGTAAATGTGTCACATATCTCCGTAATTATCTTTGACACTTTTTATATTGTTCTAATGTAAATTTTGAATCTAACCTTTTTTTTTTTTTTATTTACTCAAGAAAAAAAAAAGGAATTTACCGCAATTATACCATAACCGTCTTAACCTTGGCTAAATCGACCAAAAACATTTTTTTTCTTAAAACATTAGGGAAGGAACAAACCTTTTTGGCCTACGATATCCATGTATTTATTTGTATTGTACGGGGCACGTAAATCATATGACTCGTAAGATGATTTCCCCCATCATTTTAAAGGAAGCAGAAGAAAGAAATATAGCAAAGACATTATTGAATTACGCGTTCTTATATGCAAACAATATTCATTCAATTTTATGCGTTGCATGAAGCAGAAAATTTATTTTTATTTCGTTTGAATTACGTGTAATAAAATGATGTGAGTATTTTTTTTATTTCTTTTCTTTTTCTTTTTCCTTTTCATCTTTCTTTTCTTATTTTTTTTTTATTTTATTTTTATTTTTTTCAGGAAAAGCAATTAACTTTTTTTTTTTTTGCAAATTTGGTTTATGAGTAGGAGTTGGATACTTCCTTATAGTGACGTTCATGGTTTTTTTTTCCCGGTTTCGTATGTTTTAGTCATGTGATTTAACCCATTGGGGAACGGCCTAATTTTGTGATGATCGATGATCGTTAACCGGATCATATGACATTTTGTTAATTTAATTATTTTTTTAGTTCTCTAAAGAATCTTGTGCAGAGCAGGGAACTAGCAGTGGGTATTTGGACATAACTTTCCTTTTACTATTTATACTCTTGATTTGTTAAATGATTTGTTAAATGATACCATACTTTCGAGAAAAAAGCAAAAATAAATTTACGTATTTAACATGATCAAAACTTTAATATAAATAATAATAAACTTGCAATATATATATATATATAAATTATAAACGTTACAGGATTAATAACGAAAAAATTAGATCAAAATAATAATTAAAAAATAAATACAAAGAAAATAATAATAATAATAATAAGTAATATGTCAAAATATTAATTATTTCCTTTTTCCTTTTTCATCTCTCTTACTCAATTGATCTACGGTTTTTCTCAAATTTCTATGATTCTCCCTAAGAGTTTTATCAGCAATCTGCTCATCCCAACCACAACTTTCTAACCATCTAACCGTGAACTTGTGTAATTCTTCTTTAGCCTTTTCTTTCCACGCCTTTTCAACTTCTTCTCTAACCAAATCCTTTTTATCTTCTAATATTTTTTTTGTTTTTATATAAAAAGCGCCACTAATAGGTCTATGATCTGATATTTTACATTCATGTCTTAAATAATGATCTAGCTCAACATTACAATATTTTTTATCTAGATTATCATTACTTTCATTTTCACTTCTTTGATCATGCCCTTCATGTCTCTCTGATTTAAGATATTTGGGACGATATAATATTCTATCACACCACGCTGGAATCCTTTTCTTTTCTGACGTATCATATTCATCTTCTCCAGGATTATATTTATATGTAGGTTTAAATACTATTTCTCCTTCTAAAAATTGCCTAAGACGAAATCCTGGATTCTTAATTCTTTGTATAGCTAATTGATCGTAATCTGTTAAGAACTTATAATCTTTTTTTTCTATAGCTTCAAGTACTTCATTTCTTGATAAATTTATCCTATAATTTAAATCCCCACTGAAGAATACTATTTCGTGATCTAATACCATCGATCCATCTCCTCCATTAGTGAAAACGTATTCATTTTCTCGCCATATGAACTTATCTTTTGCGGCTTTTGATGGAAATGTCGTATTATCCAATATCTTTGCCGCATCTGTATTTCTTTCCTTAGTTTGTAATTGTCCTGCTGCTAAATGACAATTCACAAAACATATTGATGTATCATCATATATAAATCTTGTCGCTATCGAACCTTTATTACCATGATACCCTTTTAACCCAGTTTTCTTTAACGCAACATCACTTTCTCTAATATGTTCCCGTTCGTCCTTCTTTGCGAAAATACATGTAAATAATCCAACAAGGTTATCCTTTTCCAAAACTTCATAGTTCTGACCAACCACTTGAACCAACTTATCATGCCATAACTTATATCGCTGCGTTATATTTTCACTTAATTGTTTGGCATTTTTCTTTTTGGTCATTAACATTTCTTTTTTTAAAAAAAAAAAATTAGATTTAATTAATTGTCAAACTGTCAACAACAAAATTGAATTCTACTAATATTACTCACTTGCGGTCATCTTCTTTGATTCCAGGTTGATCATTTCTTGAAATCCAAAGACTATAATATCAGGTGACTCTGTGCTTTTGATCCAATTGGTGAGAAAATGTTCACCATCTGGAGATCGTTCTAAATCTTCGGGTTTTGATGCGTCAATATTCCATGAACATATTAACACTTTAACATCCCTAAAGGTGCAATAATCATTCTCTCTATCAAACATTTGATCGTCTAAACAAATAAAATCGTTATTATTAAGTAGAATTTTTCGAAATGCAATATTCTAACAATTATTCCACGTACCTATCCAATCATCGTGCATTAAGCCATCCCATACGATGATTTGACCTTCATCACTTAAACTAGCAACTTGCAATCTTTCAACTCTCCATAAACCAGCATTATCCAATTGCATGTCAATAATTGGAGCTTTATGAGCTTGCCAATGCTTAATTACTACCCAAGGACTATGTTGCACGTCATAGATGTAAATCATACCAGTTTTGAAACCAACCCATAGATAATTGCCTACGCCCAGTAAAGAATTAATACAATACGTTGATACGGTAAAAGTGGACTCAGTTTTATGAGTTTGAGCATCATGCACACCAATTGTTCCATCGTCATGTCCAGTATAAACAAGAGAAGAATTATCCGTTTGTGTCATACATCTAATATTTCCTACTTCGGGTCCCACTTCAATTTTTGCCACATGGGTATCGTCAAGTGGATTATGAATTACAATCGACTTACCATATGATAACCATAAATGATGACCGACTACAATAGCACAATTCGGTTTTGATAAAACCTTTACAGTTTTTGGTTTTGAATTCAGGGAGACAACTCCACTATCATCTTCCGACCATATTTGTAATTTACCACTATCATCTAACGTCCACAATTGCAATTGATGACGTAATATGAAATTAATTGGTGAATTGTGAGCTTTCTTATTCTTCTCAATCTGTTTGCTACAATCTATATCAACGACATATAAGTAACCATCTTGAGCCCCACACCAAATATAACGACCAACCTCTTCTATACGACGAGTCGGGCGCCAACATAAGCTTGTTATAGAATCATCACAAGGGACGCTACGAACATTTGAACCATTCTCCAAAGACCATATACGAGTTTGGCCTGAACCTGTAATTAAAAATTCCCCCGCGATGGCGAAAGTACGTGTTGTATTTTTACTATTAATATCTTGAATGTTATGAAATTTTGGCGGTCGTCTATTAGTACAAGATGCATCTGGAATCTTTTTTGAAGAATCATCCAAAGAATCTGAATCTGCTTGATCATCTACTTTTTTTGTGACTTTCGCCTGCTTGCTTTTTTTCTCATTATGATGCTCCATATTAGGTTTTCGTGGTGGCAATTGTGGGCGATTAGAAAGCGCTGGAGCTGGCGGTCTATTTGATGGTTTTGGCGGTAGAGAAGGTGGATCATTTTCATGACACTTTGGCAAAGGTCTAGAAGAATTAGGCATTAAAATTTCGGGCTTCCTTAGAGGCTTTGAAGATACTGTTTGACTAGCACTACGTTGCAAATTATAAGTTAAATCAATCAAATTATCGGCTATAAGTTTATTTCTTTTTATAACATTTGAAGGAGCAGGAGTATGACTATGCCTTCTAGGTCTTGAAGGTGAAGACGCGATCACCGTTGAAGTTTTAGTAGAATCATGTAGTGGAAGTGGAAGCTCATTGTCATCAGCAAAAGGATCAACTCCTTTAGAATCATCAAAAGGGTTATCAGTATCCTCTAATACGTGTTGAGAAAGAGGTGCACTATTAGGAAGATTCAAAATAGTAGGTGAAAGATTATTTTTTAATACTGAAGGTGATGGTGGTATGATAGGTTTAATCCCTCCAATCGGTGGTTTAGATCTCGGAGGTATTGGAGGGGGAGATTTTAATCCATTGACGGCATTAACTACGTTAACGGCATTCCTGAATGAATTTTTTTGCAGTTTTGACGGTATTTGACCATTAATTTCATTATTTGAAGAATTTCTAAGCTCTCCTGATTTATATTTCTTATGCAATTGATGTTTATGTTGTTGATGAGCCATTATCACAGCATTAGGAAAAGATAACTTGTTTTTTGCATTGGTAGTTTCATTCGTATCATTGTTGTTATTCAGTTTCTCAAATTTAGACTTTATTACGCTAATAGATCCGTGTGGTGTTGTCTGTTCTGAATCAACCTGAGAGCTGTCAATCCTTTCGCCAGTATTTTTCTCCAACTGTGCTAACAAAAGCATGACTAAGATTAGGATCAACGTAAAAAAAAAAAAAAAAGAGATAAAAAGTAACGCAATTTATAACATACCAGTATCTACAAACGTTTTATGCTTTGGTAACCTTTGAGGATTTGAAGAGTTCATGTTTTATTCGTGTAATAATATTTATTCTTAAATGATCGGATTTGAAATAATTCAATTAATCACAGATTAATATTTAAATAAATTAAAACGATCTATTTTCTATAGGAAAAAAAAAAAAAAAAAAAAAAGTCGTCTACAATATCAATGGTGAAATAAAATAATTATAATAATGGGAAATGTTTCGAAGAAAAGTTATAATTCTAACCAGTTTAATTGTTTAACGAAAGTTCTCTTTTCAACTTACCAAAAGTCATGTGATTATGTATGAAAGGAGAAAGGTGCATGTGTCAACATAGAAAAAAAATTGAAAATTGTATTCCAAATTTGTCCGGAGACATGGTAAATCACATGGTTCTTAAGTTAAAATAATATTTAATTTTTTATTGATTTTAACTTTTCCATAACTCTTTAATCAACTGTACTCAATTTACAAATGAAATTAATACATTCTAATACATTTTAAAATTTTTGTTTATATTATTTGTGTATGTCACTTTTGAATTTGGAGATTGAAAAAAAGTCAGATGACCGTCGCACCTGATATCCCATAATTGGAACTTTTGACGGATAAAAGAATTAAGTAATAAGCAGGAATTTTTCATCCCGCTCTTAACGATTAGAGCTATAAACTTCGAATAGTAAATTGTTGGGAATGGCATTCTGACTCTGACATCTACAATTAACAAGTATCCCTGTAAACAAACTGTTTGCCAATGGGATATTTCAATAAATATATGGACTCGATTCGGAGTTGTTAATGAATTAAAAATTATAACATATAAGATCTTTATTATATATATATATATATGATTTAATTCATCATCACGATATTCTAATAATGACTTTAAAGCTATTATCTTTTGATCGACTTGAATCAACTTTTAAATTCTCTAACATGACAAAGTAACTAGAATATTATTAAAGACTAGTTAGAGTAAATTATATAGAAATTTCCTTTGCTTCGTTTCCTGTGATTTATTCAAATGATTTGTAGGTTTTGACGCTTTGAGTTTTGTGACGCGTGATGCCCTGTAGTTCATGTGAAAAAACAAGTTGAATAAAATTTTGGTAATATATTTCGCTTTATCGAAACAAATACGTACTCTTTCGGCTTCAATTCAAAATTATTCTTATCTTCAACAACTTTTTGTTTTAAAATCTGTTCATTTTTAAGCTTATAGCAAAAATATATATATATATATATATTTATATATTAGGATCAGAAGAGATGATACTTAATAAAATATTTATGATCATGTTCGTTTAAATTGAAATAATACCTCGGTTGCTAATAATCGTCGAATTTCAACACGTGGATTTTCTTTTGATGAAAGCAATAGCCTATCAATCGGTCTATACGAAGTAGATTACATTAAGTATTAGATTTTAAAATTATTACATTAAACATTATACTGTATATAATATATAATAATATGGAGTTATAATTACGGATCAAGAATATAATTGTTTTGACCAGATGCATTTTTATCTAAAATAAAATCCAAATTAAATGAATGCATTATTTCAGCCACATATTTGATTTTGGATCTTTCTTCATGGTTGATGTTGCGTTTATTTATCTTGTTTATTGAAAAAATTTAATGAATTAATTAATTATCAATAATTTTATACACAACTTTGAAAGAATAATTACCGGTCCAATATTAGGTAAAATCATTTTTACTAGGCATGAAATCAATTCATAAGAACCTTCTTTGTTATGAAATCTTCGAACTTGTGGAGGTAATGAATTCAATACTGTCATTATGATATTCTCGGTTACCTTTTTCTTTGCATTATTCTATAAATAATGTAACAAATTTCGATAAATATAAACCAAAATCACCAAGATAATACATAAAACTTAATAAAAAACCTCATAATCTTGGTTAGAAAATCTAATACGAATCTGAGGACTTCCTACAAATAGATAATGGAACGCGGCAATCGGATATGGAAGAATTTCGCGCAATTCATAAAAATGATGTGAATTAATTGCTGAACTAATTTGATCATAGAAATTAAGATATTCACAAGCCCTTAGTTTGGACTTTAAATCTTCGGTTTTACATTTAAGGTAATTCTCAAAGCATCCTAAAGATAAAATGTAAATATTTTTTTCGGGAATGGTAATATATTCAAATAGACATCACGACCATTTAATTACCTTGCATAAGCTTTTCGTATTCGCCACTTGAACGAATAAGCGAAGTCAATCGTACAATGTTTTGACGCGAATTTTTATCTAAATTATTACGGATGATTAGATAGTAATTTACTATGAATTTGAGTAAATAAAATCGATAAATTAAATATACCATAAAAATTTCCATGCTCGTCAAAAATAACTTTGCTCTTGATTCTTTCTCCTTTCCTCCCATGAAATATTTCTTCCCATATGTAAAATATTGACTTCTTTCTTTCTTTTCCATCAATTTGTGATAATAATTCCTCTTTTGAAGTTGATTTTGACTCGTACATTGAAAACTAGAAAATATATACTTATGTCACTTATGCATCAAAGAATTCTTACTGTTTTATGATGATTCAATTTACCTGTAAAAAATTTATGCATTTTCTTATATCACCTTCATATTTTTCAATTAACTTGAACAAAGTTGGCATACCAATAGATAAGTTCTCCTTATCGCAAATTTCTTTTAATCGCTTTACAAGTGACACTTGATCAGGTTTCTTGAATTGAACTATTTCAGCAATAGCTCTAAGCGGATTTATAGAAGACGCATATCTAATAATTCAAATTACATCATTGAATACCTAAATATTTCGAATTAATACACTTATCACTACACATACAATTCGTTACAGATAAATATGATAGGACGAAGTAATGGTTTATTTTTTGATTTTTTAGGAGGACCTTTTGAAAAAAAAAAATATATATATATATTATTAACTTTGATAAGACTGTAATATGAATAATTTTTAACTTAAAATCATTACTATTATTTGTGTCCTTTCGTGTCAAATTGATGTTCTTTCTTTCTGAGCCGACCAAATTTACAATCGAATTAATTAAACTCTAAATCAAAGAGAAAAATACCTTTAAATTAAATGAAAGTATTTATTTAAGATCAATTCATAAAGTAATAATAACCTGCTCTCCGGTATCATGAATTCCATCAATTCCATCAATTATAGTTAGATTCGGCTTATTGTTGGAGGCTAATGAAAAAGAACCCAAGGCATTCGTGATTTGATCTTTTACATTATTGCTTGAAAAGTCATCGCTATAATGTATGATTGATTAGAACGTAGTTTAATAATACATAAAGAAAAGAATAAATGAATGATATGATTCACCTTCCATTCACTTCAATGACATTATATCCACAAGAACGTGCTACAACGCGCGCTAGCGTAGTTTTTCCATATCCTGGAGGCCCGATTAATAACAAAATCTATTTCAAAGAAAGAATTATAGATAGTAGATTCATTCGAATATTATAAAATAATAATAATTTGATCAAGTATACCTTTTTCTTTGGTCGTTCCCATTGATCATTATGCTAAAATTTTATGAATTTTTGATAAAATTATAAGTAGGTTATAATCGATTAAGTTTAGTAATAATCATACCTGCAGAATTTTCGTCCTATCATCCTTAATTACAGACTTTTTGTTGAAAACGCAGAAATCCCATTGTTTCACCCATTTTAACACTCGAAGATTTACGTTCTGATAAAAAAATTTTAAAACAAAATATTTCCAGAAATCAATAATTGAGATAAAAAAAATCATACCTCATCGCCCATCAAATTCAAATAATTAGTTGGTTGATATTTATCCACCCATAATTTTGTTTTAGCTGACATTAATGGACGATTTGACAATTCAGATCGACCCTTGAAACTAATATTAACCACATTAGAATATTTAACGAGATCAACACGGATCGAAACATCACTCTTAAATACCTATCAGATTTTGACTTTTCGGTTTCGATTTTATCCAATAATTTATATATTGATATATTTGCAAATCTTTTGTTCACAACTGAGGAAGTTTCCTTTTAAAAGTAGGAACATTAGTTCTAAAGTAATCGTAACGCAAAATACTTAAATACTTACGTATTCAATAGGTTTTTCTGTTTTGTTCAATGGAAAATAAAGCCGTCGACCAGACGATAAAGTAGCGGTAAGATATCTACCGTTATCAGGAAGACGCGTATTTTCAAACTCATAATTTTTCGTTTGCAAGACATGCGACCTTTCTAATTTTTAATATTCGATCCCGTAAAATTAAAGAAGAAAATTGAACAATAAAAATTAATTAGAGCGATCATAATTAAAATGAACATTCATGTAGTTGAATATAAAAATTATTTAATAAGAAATACTTTTATTAAGTTCCTCGTATACTGGTAATCCATTAACATGATTTGCTATTTGAAATCCTTCAGGATTAAACTTGCTTTGATTCGTTTGATTCGTTGAATGATAGCCAAGTGGGCAAGGCGCAGAAGCTGAATTTGATTCGGTAAAGTTAACTTGCAAATGCGAGGATTCATATTTTTTCAAGAGCTTTTCAGTAGCTTCAAAATCAAAGTCAAAATCAGAGGAACGACATTGTCTTTTCTTTTTAGCAGCATGTTCAGTAGATATTGCGTTATCTTCCTTATAATTTTCTTTTTGATCGAAATAATGTTTCATACTTTATTTTATTGAACTATGATAATTTTCACATTGAAAGAAACTCATTGAAGAACGCGTTTTCTCTCCGAGGAGGAGTAGGAGGAATGGGATTGTCATGTGATATTGGGTAACGCGTGACGTCTCTTCACAATGACGCGAACGCGCATTCTCGAACAGTGAAACCATATGATGTTAATATGAATCAAATTTTTTAACCTATCCTAGCTTGGAGGGACGATTTCTCGTTATGACGAGGCATTCCATGTAATTTTAGATTAACCTATCCTTGGTCAAGTGCATAAAGCATCTTATTAAAAAAAAGAATTTTTTTTGTATGATAAAGAA